TTAGGGTCCCTATTTTTCCACATCCTCTCCAACATTTACCATTTTCCTTTTTTGTCATATTAGACAATCTGGTAGGTGTGAGGTGGTATCACAGAGTTGTTTTAATTGGAATTTCTCTGATCAAAAGTGATTTAGAGCACTTCTTCATATACCTACAGATAGCTTTGATTACTTTATCTGAAAACTGCCTGTTCATCACCTTTGACTATTTCTCAATTGAAGAATGATTCTTATTTCTATAGATTTGACTCAATTCTCTATATATTTGAGAAATGAGGCCTTTTTTGAGAGAAATTTGCTCACAGTTATGATTACTAACTGGGTATTTTCCTCCATCTTATTTCCCCCTGTTTATCCTACTTTATCTCTCCTTTCACATAGTCCAGCCTCAAGTGTTTTGCTTCTGACTATTGCCTCCTCCAGTCTGCCCTCCCCTCAATCACTTCTTTTATCCTCTCTTCCTCCTACTTTCCTATAGGGTAAGATAGGCTTCTAACCCCAACTGGGTGTGCATATTATTCCTTCTTTGAGCCAATTCCAATGAGGATAAGATTCCAGTGTTTCCCTCCACCTTCCCTATCTTCCCCTCAATTGTAAAACTCTTCCTTTCACACTTCCCTTTTTGTGAGTTAATATACCTCATTTTACCTCTCCCTTTCCCTTTTCTCAATGCATTCTTCTTTTTTACCCTTATTTTTTTATGTCATATCATCATATTCAACTCATGCTCTCAGTCTATACATACTCCTTTTAATTGCCTCAATAATGAGGAAGTTCTTAGGAGTTTCAACTATCATCTTTCCATGTAGTAATGCAAATAGCCTAACTTTATTGAATTCTTTGATTTATTTTTCCTCTTTACCTTTTTATGCTACTCTTGATTCTTGTATTTGAAAGTCAAATTTTCTGGGGCAGCTAGGTGGCGCAGTGGGTAGAGTACTGGCCCTGAAGTCAGGAGGACCTGAATTCAAATCTGAGCCCAGACCAAACACTTGACACTTACTAGCTGTGTGACCATGGGCAAGTCACTTAACCCCAATTGCCTAAACAAAAAACAAAATGTCAAATTTTCTGTGCAGCTCTGGTCTTTTCATCAGGAATGCTTGAAAGTCTTTTATTTCATTCAATGTTTATATTTCACCCTGAAGGAACATGCTTATTTTTGGTGATTCTTGGTTATGATGGTGGTATTCCTAGCTCCTTTGCCCTCTGGAATATCACATTCCAAGCCTTCCAATAATTTAATGAAGAAGCTGCTAAATCTTGAGCTCCCTTGACTGTGACTCTACAATATTTGAATTGTTTCTGTCTGGCTGCTTGCAATATGTTCTACTTGACCTGGGAACTCTGGAATTTGGCTATAATAATCCTGGGAGTTTTCATTTTGGGATCTCTTTCAGGAGGTGATGGATGAATTCTTTCAATTTCTATTTTACCCTCTGGTTCTAGAATATTAGGGTAATTTTCTTTGATAATTTCTTCAAAAATGATGTCTAGGCTCTTTTTTTACTCATGGCTTTCAGGTAGTCTAATAATTCTTAAATTATCTCTCCTGGATCTATTTTCCAGGTCAGTTGTTTTTCTGGTGAAATATTTCACATTCTACTTTTTTCATTCTTTTGATTTTGTTCAATTGTTTCTTGATGTCTGATGGAGTCATTAGCTTTTTTTTTTGACCAATTCTAATTTTTAATGAATTACTTTCTTCAGTGAGCTTTTGTACCTCCTTTTCCATTTGGCCAATTTTGCTTTTTAGGGAGTTCTTCTCTTCAGTGGATTTTTTTTTTTTTGCCTCTTTTTGCCTATCTTTTAAGTTGTGTTGGGCTGGAAAATTGTTTCACTTCATCCCATTTTGTAGGTTCTGCCACTAGACAATTTGTTTTGACACAAATTCTAAAACACAACACAATTGTGTTTAAAACACAAATCTAAAGTTGTTTGGGGGGGGAATTTGGGAGAACTCAGGTGAATCCCTGACTTTCCTCTGCCATCTTGGTTTCACTCACCTAGTGCTAAGCTTTTCCAGGAATATAGAACTTTAGTGCTGCTCAAAACTGTTCTTGGAAATACCATAAAATGTTCTGGAATAGCTTGTGGTCAGTCCCTTTTAGTTTAGTCATGCTTTGGCTAATCAGAGAGAAGAAACATCTTTTTTTTTTTTGTTTAAGATTATGTAATTTTATTTGTATTTCATTATTGATTATCAGAAAGCCTTGGTTATTACCATTCAGGGTTCTTATGGGGCCCTGGACCAGATTTGTTATGCAACTGCTATCCTTGCTAATAAATCAATATGCTCAGATTTCACTTTTTAATTTTCTCAAAAATTTTATCCTGACATGTCATTTTGACAAGGGAATATCCAAAGGAGTCTTCCATTAATTCTGGACCAGTACTAGGTAGAATGGATAAAGGCTTAATAGTCCTGGGACAGCAACACTAAGACAGTAGCCAAAGGTTGACTGGATGTGATGGGTAATTTTTCAGAGTTCAATAGGGGAGGGAATCAGCATTTGTATAGTGCCTACTATGTGCTGGGACCTGTGCTTGGGGCCTTCACAAATACTATCTCATTTGATCCTCACAATATCCCTGTTGAGGCAGGTGCTATATTATTATCTCATTTTATTGTTGAAGAAACTGAGATAAACAGAAGTTAAGTGACTTGCCCAGGGTCACACAGCTAGTAAGTATCTGAGGCCAGATTAGAAGTCAGTCTTTCTACTACAGGCCCAGTGCTTTATATACTATGTCCCTAGCTGCCTCCAAAAGGTAAAGAATTATGAGGATTTATTAGGTAGTAGCTGGGAAAGAAAGAGAATGAGGAAAAAATGTTTTAAAGAGATAGGACAAAAGAGAGGCAGTAAAGAAAAAAAATAAGGAAATGGGCTAGAGAAAATAGAGAAAAAAGTTTAATAATCCCTCACATATATGTATACATACCCACACATAGGAATATACATATGTAGACACATTTATACATAAAATATATGTACACATGGGTGTGTGCATGTGCATATATATGTATATATACATACACATATATGCAGACATAAATAGGCAACTAGGTGGTGCAGTGGATATAAATCATAGAGACAAGAAGACCTGAGTTCAAATCTGGCCTCAGTTTCCTTATCTGTAAAATGAGTTTGATAATAGTACTTATCTTCCAAAGTTGTCAGGACCAAATGAAATAACAAATGTAAAGTACTTAGTACAGTGCTTGGCACATAGCAAGCACTATGTGTGTCACCTTATTATATGTATCCATATATACTTATATGCATATGTATGTGTATATGTATATCCATCTGTGTATGTACATGGGTATATGCACACATATATGCAGCTGACCTTGCAAGTTCTTCTTTGAATTACTGCACTGAATGTTTACAAAGCACATCCTGACATTCTAGTTGTCCTTTTGTTTTCCAAGAAAATACAATATTCTTGGACAGCAGTTCCATGGAAAACAACTGTTGCTGCGCTTTGATCTACTTAGATAGAAAGTCTTGGACTTGAGAAGTTACTGCATGGACAATCCTGTTTAAAAAGATTGTATTTCCTCTCCATTTTTTTGTAGTTGTTTTCCCAAAACTAGATAATTTATCTATTTATTTATTTGCCTGATTGCTTATTTATTTATGTATTTATTTGCTGTTCCAAAGTACTCTCTCTGAGACAGGATGCCTTCTGAACTCTTGGAAACAAACCAGAAACAAAGCTAGGCCAAAGTTTTATTTTGGATAGAGCACCATCACTGAAGTCAGGAGGACCTGAGTTCAAATGTGGCCTCAGACCAAACACTTGACACTAGCTGTGTAATTCTGGGCAAGTCACTTAACCCCAATTGCCTAAAAAAAACAAACAAAAAAAACAAAAACAAAGTTTTATTTTAAGGTCATTGATGAACAGTTGTTAAGGAGTTTGCAAAACCACTTATTCTTTGAAAGGAATTGATGGGGGAGCTACATCCTTAATTAAAGTTCCATATTTTGTCTTCTGAACAACTTTAAGGATCAATTTTATATTAAAAACAGGAAAGCCTGACTTTCTTAGTTGTAGAAAGTTATATTTGTCCTTTCAATTTCCAGTCTTCTCTAAAAGAAGCTTTCCTTCAGTCAGGAGAAATTCTACAGAAAGTTTATTTCATTGGGAAAAAAAGGTATTGGAAACCATGGAAGTTGCTTTTGAACTAAACAAAAAACGTGAGTAATTGTAATTATCCTTATAATTTAACTAAATGTCTTACTTTTCTAAGGCTTAGGCAGCATCAAGAATGGCATTTCTACTAGGGCCCCAATTTTGCAATAAGGGAGATCTGAGTCCAAGCATTGTTTCTGATGTGTATTAGCTGTGTACAAGCCACTTAACTCCTCAGTACTCCTGGGGAACTCTAAAACTAAAAGTCTCTGATCTCTCTCAGGAGAGGAAATTTAAACCACAGATTTAGTTAGACTCCTATCTCAAAATAAAAAAGTCTTTTGGAGAAATCCTCTCATTTGGTGACCTCAGAATTACATGAAGGGAAACTTTTACAAACTACTTCCATTTTTTCCTATATTTTATTTACTTCTGGCTCTCTTCCATTGTCCTCCACTAGAATGATTTGGTTGGGTACCTGAAGAACCTAGTGCCCAAATAACCACTAATTCTTTCTGCAAACAAAGGAGAACTCTTATGTCCACTCAAGGTCCCAGGTGTCTCCTCTTCCAGTCACCTTCACGTTCAGACTGCATAATTTACTGATCTTGATGGCTTTGCCTTATTCACCTAGATGTCTAGGGGGTGCCACAATACACCTGTCTTGCACGCTGTAGACCAAGCAGGTCAGGACTGCGGTTGCTCTAGTGATCTCTCTACCTGCTTTGGGACTTCCCCGGGACTGAGCTCTCAGGTCACCGCTAAAATCCGGAAAAAGCGGGAGCGAATGCCCTTAGTCCAGGGAAAGTCTGTATGACTGTTGAGCTGGGCATGCTCAGTTAGTCAGGGCAGGTTTGGGGCGCTAGTAGGAAGCTTTTACACTGTAGCCTGGCTGGCCCATGAAGCCTCTCTTCCTTCCTCTTTCTTTTCTTTCTACCTCCCTCCTGCCGCCTGCCCTTCTTTTCTCCTCCCTTACACACACACACACACACACACACACACACACACACACACACACACACACACACACACATACACACATGCCGGGAGGCATACACAAGGGCATTCATCAGTCCTCCACCTCCCCTCCCAGCCTTCGCCGCCTCCTCCTCCTACTCTGGCTGCGGCTGGCGAGGACACGTCAAGGGAAATAAATAAATAAATAAATCCATTCACCCTGTGACAGCGAAAAGAACCGGCTGCGGCGGGGGGGCACGCACAACGCCGAGCGCCCACCCACTCACCGCGAGCTAGAGACCAGGTAAAGTAAGTACACACCGGGTGCAACAGGGAGGAGGAGGTGGAAGAGGATGTGAACGGAGACCTCCGGTGCTCGCAGATGCCCTTAAGGAGAAAGGCTGCGCGCGTGTGTACTAAGAATGCCCATTGCGTGCACGATGTAACATACATGCTACTGGAGTGCTGGGAGGGGAGTCCATATATAGGCAAAAAGCTGAAGCTGCCCCCAGAGGAGTGTGTGTGTGTGTGTGTGTGTGTGTGTGTGTGTGTGTGTTTGTGTGTGCGCGCGCGCCTGTATATGTAATGAGCACGCTCACACCCGGCACGGGGGTCTCCAGCACTGTTTGAACTGGCGCGCTTGTGAGTGGGAGGGAAGGGGAGGGGGGTCCCATACAAGAACTACTGCCAATCTTGGGTGTGCTCCTGAAGGCGTGTATTTGGAGTAAGGACTGGGCCCCCGATCAATTCTTGGCTAGGAAGTGGTGTGGAGATGTGGTATTTTGCACAGGAGATTCCCTAGCCCTTTCGCCTCAGGACTCCTGGTATTGTGTGTCTCCCAGCTGCTAGTTTGACATTGTGTATCTCGTGCTTGCATCTCACAAGCATCTTACACCAGCAACCGGGACGTAGGCAGGCAAGGGCGATTGCTCACGAGGATGGCGCTGGTGCAGCAAAGGGGAGGAGGGGTGGTTCGGCTTCATTTTCAGCAAAGACCCAGCTGATTGGGGCGAGGAGGGCGTCTGGGAATGAGAGTCTTGAATCGTCTCTTTTCTCTGCCTCTACTGGAGAATGGGAGTGGGGGATGGGGAGGTGGATAGAAGGTGTGTGCCTGGGATGAAAGAGGCTCCACCAATGGGCTGGAGACCTCGTGAGGGGCCTGCGGAGGAAGGGGAAAGACTACTGAGATGGACCCCAGCAGCTGCCGCAGTAGCTAAGGCAGGGAAGGGCTGGCTTCCGCCAACTCCTCACAAGTAGGACCACGCGCTTCTCTGGGACCAGCTGTGTGGAGCTGGCTGCCTCTGATTCCCGGCCAGGTGGCTGTGTCTCTCACGTGCGAGTGTCCTCATCTCTCTGGCGACTGTCGCGAGGCCTATTGTCTCCGCCCCTTTTTCCCCCAGTCTGTCTCGTCTTTGCTCCGCCAAAGGGTATATTGGGTGCCCTGGCCCTGGCTGGCAAAGGCACAAGTCCGCCGAGTCATTTCGGTGGCCGCCTTTTTCCCTTAAGGCTGGGACTGGGATTTTGTGATTGCACAGAAGGGGGTGGAGGATAGAAGAGAGGGCAAATGAGGAAAGGTTTCTGGAAGGCTGTTCCGTCTCCCGCCTTCCTACACACACTATCTGCCTGTCCTTCCTGGCTCTAGAGGCAGGGCTAGGCCAGGCCAAGGGCGGGAGTGCGCAACAAGCAATGAGTTTAGCTGTACGTTATTATCTCATGGACCCCTCCCTCGGGCTGGCCAATAGGAAGCGGCCCATGGGAGTTAGAGGGGAAAGGATGATGAGGACATGAGAGTGGAGGTTGGGAAAGAGGGAGAGGGGGACACTGGATGCCCTTTTCCTGGCAGTTAGACTGGGGAGCCTTGTGGATCTCAGCCCAACCACCGAATTCAGACGGCAGCAAACTTGTAAGAGGCATGTTGAGCTGGATTTGCTGTGTCATTGAGACATCAAATACTAGGGCAAATCCAGAGCAGGAATGAAAACACCGAGTCAGATTAATTCAGTTAGCCAATTAGTCCAGTCCTCTGCCTCTAAGGTACGACTATACTCAGCCATATTAACCCAAAAAGGCATTTGAAAATGACTTCTGGAAAAGGGGATTTTGTAACTTCCTTCCATAACCTAATCCTAACTCAGAAGGGTAGCTTCTCCTTTCCAGATTCAATTCAATTCAGCTAACATTACCTAGTGTGGATAAAACACTATCCCTACTTTTACTATGCCAAATGGTACCCTAGGGATTTAGATAAATTTGATATGACTCTACCAAATCCCCCTTTTACAGTGAAACTGGAACTTTAATATAAGAGTCAAACATTATCTCCAATCTAATCCCAAACAAAAACAGAAACAAAACACTTTGGGAGGAAAGGAGGGGTAAATATTATATCCATTTTACAGAGAAGCCCACTTGACAGAACACATCTCATTAGTGCTACATAAGTCAGTGATGGATAAAAACAGGATTAGAATGAGGTTTCCTGATTGCTAATTCAATTTGGAATCTACTAAATGATCCTGCCTCTTATGCTATTGAACTTTCATCCCATTTTTCCATCTTCTTAAAGTGATACTTATCCTAAAAGTCACTGCAGGAAATGAGCAGTGGTAGTAATAAATTACTTTTATATAACACTCTAAGAATTATGATTTTTTTTAAATATACCTCTCAAATAGGCAGTATTATAGTTCCCATTTTATAGATAAAGAATCTGAGTCATGGAAGGTTAAGTTATATGTGATCCATGGTCACATAAAGAGTTATTAAACAAGGAAACTGCTATTCAAAATAAGATTTTAAGATGTCTAACTCAGCACTTTTTAAAAAATCCATTGGACATCCTTTGTAAGCAAAGTTTATATAGGAATTAGTGCACAAAATGGTGAGCTTCAGAGAGCTGGAAATTTACAAATATTAAGTCCAATTCTTTACCTTTAGGTGAAGCAATTTATAGCAGGAGACCCTTAGGAGTTAATAGAAACAACAAGATAGAAAATTTTCTGTTTTCTGTGTCTCAGGGGAACATGTACTGAGAAGCCAGAAAACAAGGTACTTTCCATGAATCTTTCTGATTTGCCTGACCCTCTAAAGCAAACTTCTCATCCTTAGCTGCTGTAACCTCTAAAACTTGGGGAGACTACTTTTTTCCCTCTCGACCTCACTTTAATTGTGTCAGCAAATCACTGCATGACTGCACTTCCTTTTCAAAGATGTGCTGGGTTGGAGCCAGAAGCCTCTTTGGAGAACTCTGATTCAGGCCTGAAACTGAGTGAAAGCTTGGCCTCAGGGCAGAGTTTGGAAGGCTCATCAGAAGGTCTTCTTCACCTTAGGCTTTGGGAATAAATGTTGTTTGGCACACAGGCAAGAATTGTGCTCCAAGTGGGCAGGTTGATTTAATAAATGCCTAATATATGCAAGGTGAGTTTGAAAAAAAGGATCACTATTTTGTGATTTGCTTGATTTTTGACAAAACTGAGTACTTTTGAAATCATGGTTTTCTCATTAGCCATCACAGGGTGTTGTATTGTGCAGTAAGCCATTCAATGAGTATGCTTTCACTGACGTGGTGACCCAGGACATTATCTGCATACTGCACTCTCAAATATTAGTTACTGGCTTGGACTGAATCAAGTCAGCACATATAGTTGGGGTGTGTGTGTATGTGTGTGTGTGTGTGTGTGGCAAGGCAAGAACTAACAGCCTCAAGCCTCTATGTAGTAACTAACCTTTTCTTATGCATGGTAACCTATGTAATGCCCTTGGAACAACTACCAAGTTTTGGTCTTACATAAATGACCACAGTTCTACTCAATCATAATAAAAAGTGAATAGTCTAATAAATACTGTCATTCAAACTGCCTAATTTAGTTTTCCACAAGCACTTCAAGAGTCTGTAATTTCACTGGTGCCAGCAGTATGCCAATGGATGCCTACTGAAATCCCTCCATAGCCTAGCACATGGTCTTCAAGTGTTGCTGTGTGTAGCTGAACCATCTACTACCCTGAAGCCAACTTAGTAAGGAGGGCAGCTAGGTGGTACCATGGATAGAGCCAGTGAGTCTCAAATCAAGAAAACTCATCTTCCTAATTCAAATCTGGTGTCTGACATTTCTTAGCTGTGTGACCCTAGGCAAGTCACCTAACCCTATTTGCCTCAGTTTCCTCATCTGTAAAAAGAGATGAAGAAGGAAGCAGCAAACCATTCCAGTATCTTTGCTAAGAAAATCCCCAGTGGGGTCACGAAGAATTGGGCATGACTGAGAAACAACAGAAGAACTTACTAAGGAACTTCCCCCAGTTTAGTTAGATTGACATATGAATAATTGACATACAGCCCCATCACCTGCTGAAGACTTCAGCTTGGTAAGACCTGATCTTGTGCTCCTTCATCTTGGTTTTCAACAGCAGTAGCACCAAGCATTTGCATAGTGTTTTAAGGTTAACTAAGCATTTCATAGATATTCGTTTGATATTCACAACCACCCTGTAGGTTGATACAATTATTATCCACATTTTATAAATAAGGAAACTCCTACCAACACAAGCTAAGTGACTTGGGCAGGGTCACACACCTAGTAAATATCTTAAGGCCAGATTTGAACTCAGATTTTCCTGATTCCAGTCTCAGAACTCTAACCATTGTACCACCCAGCTGCCTTTTAAGAAATCAGTTACCTCCGCAATTTAATAAAGTGCTTCATTGGAAGCAGTGAAGGGATAAAAATGATTCAAAAAATAAGTTGTGAATATTAGGTGAAAAAGAAATTAACTACAAGTCAATACAAGTTAACTGGATAATGATGAAACAAGGGGAGATTTGTGTGGGTGTATTTGGAAAGGGTGAGGGAGCAAGAATCTATATTACAGGGAAAGATTGGCCACATGAACGTTTTTGAAAATGACTTTTCTGATTTAACTCCAAAAATGCTTTCACAAATGTTTCTATTGGGCAATCACTGAAATCCCAAAAAAGTCCCTGGAAGCCTTGCAGGGCATCTGAGTGGCAGCTATGGGCAGCTGGTCTGAGGAAATTTTATCCAAAACTTTTGAGCAGTTAGTTCAACCAGCCCCCAAACAAAATGTGTATGTATTGCAATGCTCTAAACTAGAAATTCCATTTTGGAAATGCCAGGTTTTTTTTTTTAAAGGCCTTTTCCATGGAAAATAAAGGTCAGATTTTGAATGTGCATATAAATAAGTCATTTCTTTTTTTAATGCATATTTGAAAAATGGTCAGAGATTAAAACAGTTATTTTCTTTTAGAGAGTTTTGTAGCTTAACAGTACAGTAGAATGAAATTTTCAGAACCA